AAAAAGAGAAAAACTAAACGAGAACAACAAATTGATTTAGTAGCAAACAATCATATTAAATAATAGTAAAAATAATAAATTTGCTCATTCATGTGTTTTTTATGGAGTTTTGTTCTCTGAGCTGGATAGTTTTGATCGTGCTCAGAGAACAAAACTCTATCAAGATCATCCACCTGAGCTACAAATCTTCTTTATCATCTCATTAATGTGTACATTGAGTTTACATCCTATTTACACTACAGACAATATTTTGATCAGATCTACCATATGTAAACTATTACTCATAGTTAAATTGTTTATTTATCAAGAATAATGATAGTAGTAGTTCGTCTCAAATGATCTGTGTTAATTCTTGCAATATGATGATGTTTTTTGTTAAGAGGAAAATGTTCATTAGTAATAATAATAATAATAATAATAATAATAATAATAATAATAATAATAATAATAATAATAATAATAATAAAATAGTGAAATGGTATAGATTACTGGTTAAAGGATTCAGTATTTAACTAACAGATGATTTCAGATTCGAATTGTACTCTTCCGACTCATAAACTGTATAACGTAAAATTGAGTAGTAGAAGATGGTGAATAAGTTACAATATGAGATATTTCTAAATTTACTACTCATTTGAAAACAATTCAAAAGAGTTGATGTAAGATACAGTCAGATCTAAAAACTAAACGTTGTAGCTGACTGACTGACAAACTAAACGTGACAACTAGTTATTCATTCTGTAAATCAGTAGTTTTGTGAGAGACTTTGCAGTTATCATAAGTATTGTCAGATTTAACACTTAACTGTACAAATTGAAATACATTACAGTATGTGAGAAGGTAGAAGAATGTTAGGAATAGTTTCAAAAAACAAATTCATACTGAAAATTGACAGTCATTTTTTTCACTGAATTAAAAAAATATATAAATCTAAAATTATTTTACACTATGATCAGCCAGGTAAATCGTAGAACCTGGTACGTATATACATCAGTTCTAGTTGCCATAACCAATTAACACAGACAGACGAAATTGTCAGGACAAATTCCAAAATAGTAAAGGTAGTAACACTATCAATGGCAATAGGAAAGATAAAATATGTAAGATTTGTAAATCAATGAGATAAAAACACAAAAAAATTATGAGGAATTCAAAATCTCATAATTTATGGAAAGACAAGGAGTGGATTCACCTGAGTAACTGCAAACGATTTTGAGCCGCGTCATTCAAATTCTAGCGCACTATCACATAAGATATCATCCGTCGAGGTAACTGGTGACTGGGTATACGTAACATATGTTCCAACTACCTCAATTAGTGAGTGTTTACTATCTCCTTAATCAATTCTCCATCCTTAGAAGGCACTCTATTCCTAACCCAGATACTGCTTACTCAGTGATCCCATAATACACGAACAATGTTTCGAAGACACCTATTATCGAACACTAGTAATCTACAAATATCCTTTATTCTTAATGACCATATTTCACATTGGAGTGAACTGTTGAGCAGTAAAGTCGACTTTGAGTTGCCAGATCATTATCTTGCCTACGCTAAAATTGAAACAAGTTTGACTTTGAACCCGTGTCAAGAGAAATCAAAAATGAGGTTAAATGGTTTTGATATCATTTGTTTAGGTAAAATATAGTACCATTTTATAAAGTAAATTTTTCAGAAATTATTGAGGAGATATATGAACAAAATATATTTTCGAGAATGAGACTTATTAAACTCTAGCTGAATATTCTATGTACAGAATAGATGAATGAATGAGTGAGTGGGTGAGTGAATTAGTTCATTAGTTAGGAAGTTTACTAGCATCAATAATGTCATTAGTGTTATCATATGATGATATTTATCTCTTTTTTACATTAAAAACATAAAGTACATTTTCAAATAATGAATGAATAGAAAAAAAAAAATAAATTAGATTGAGTGTGTCCTAGGGAGTCATATGATCATTGATATAAAACTAAAACTACCAATAATACTAATAACACTACTAAGAATACCGACTTCATGTTAATATTAGAAAGAGGAATAGAGAAAAAACTGTTTCTGTTATGATTATTATTGTTTATATGTCAGTCAGTCGGATACAACGTAGGACAAGGCACATATATACATCAGTCCAAGTTGACATACCTCATTAACACAACATGATGAACATCGAATTTACAGAAGTAGTTAGTTCAATGGTGGTAATATATAAAAGAAACATTGCATATAAGGATATAATACAGGAAGAAAGCAATAGTTGGTAGAATGAAAGATATGAAGCGACCTTAATCTCATAGTTTGAGGGAAAACAGAGAGTGCATACACACCTACACTATTGTGATCTATTCTCAGCCATGTCACTCAGAATCTCCAACCATTATTTACGATAGTCACTCGGAACCAAACCAAGTAGTCTGCACCTACCAACATGGGTCAGACAAGAAGTTAGTGACTTCAAACACTGATGCCACGTTTTGGTTTGCCCGCCCCTAACTTTCTTCCAACCATCTCCAACACTAGTTAGCATTGCGCGTCGTGGTGACTGGTGTTCAGGCATACTCAACACGTGATAGGTATATTTGAGTGTTTTGAGTACTCATCATGAAAATGAACAAATTGTAATGTTTAAAGAAGGTATTTTATAAAGATACTTTATTTAATTTGTAAGTAATATATTTCACAAACTGATTTCAATTAAATTACCATAGAAAGCCAGGAAAAATTAGACAGATGTTTCATGTCCTATTTTGAAATTTCTCACCCACAACATCATCGGAGACTGAACCCAAGTGTATCATGTTTCACATAGTTTTTACAGTTAGAATTATTTAGTGGTACAAGTCTGAACTTTAGAAATCAGAAATTTCCACTAAAAATTCAGAAACTTCATGTCGAAATAAATCACCAGTGAGTTGACTATTGTAGATCTAAATGAATTGTTGCTGTATTTGTAATTTTTAGAACAGATTTTATGTTTGAAGAGTGAATAATTCATTTATTTGCAATAGATTAAGGTGTTCGTAGATAAAATAACACAACAATAAAAGTAGTAGGCCGGTGTATATATTGAATGTATTGCAAAATATGCACATACACACACCACTAACCGAGAAATGGGTAGTCAAATACTACAATTAATAATAATATTTATGCGCTAAACTTTAGTTTAAACAGCACATTTAAGTATACCCCAAATGCCCTGGTATGGCCAAGAGTGCGTAGAGTCATCTCTCCTTCTCTCGAAATGCTCTTACATAGTCACGTGCATACGACCACTGTCAGGGAAGTCCTACTCACTGCCTTCTCGCAACAAGGGTGTTGTTCACGAAATTGAGAGGACGAAAATTGAATGTCAGGCGCCTTGACCACGTTGGTGGATATAGAAGATCCACGTAGGGGAGTTAGAAAACCCTGATTCTAAACCAATGGTGCACATAGGCTCCATGATCCTGAGGGAACAAACGGTGTATGAACATATTATTAGTCACCAGCTATCATGGGACTGCATCTCTTGACGTTGATTCATCACCGTGTGGATTAGACCTTTAGATCGAAGACTCCGGGTGTGGTCCCCGAAGAAAACTACCTGCTTCGATCTGGTCACCCGGGCAGTATCACAACCCACACACAAATCAAGTGACTTGTGTGGCGCATATGTATTGGGTGCCCCTTTGTACTAATATTTATGTTCAAATAAATTTTAAAAAAACACATCACTGTGCATTGAATTGGTTAGAGAAGTTATTTTTGTGTATAAGAACTAAGGATATATTAACTGTTCAGTTAAGAAAATCACACCAAGTGAAAGTAATTCCAAAATCCCATAATAATTCAATGGTTGATTGTCAAACCATCTTCTATTGTTCTGTTAGATAAGTTTGTTTTTGCAAAAAGGTAATCACTAGTTTACTACCTTGCCGATTAGTCCAAAGGTGAAGATTTACACATATTGGAAAGTAAATAAATTTATGAAGAGAAAAAAGGTAACAACTGTAGGACAATAAAGTCCTAGTTTTAAACAAAAACACTCTGCTTACGACCATTAGATCACAGGTTCGACCCCACTTTTAATTAGATGGATTGTTTATTATGAATTGAGCTCTTTCTCACACACATGTGTGACTGACTTAAAGCCAAGTACATTACTAGACTACACTTGGAAAATATTATGAAAAATATGTATAAGGTGTTTTATTTTGTTATAAATTTTCAATCTATTCATCATATAAATGAATACTGAAAATTCTAGTTTTTGCAAAGATTGTTGTTAAAAAACCTGTATACTTGTTTAATTTGACCTTCATCATGAAACACGTGGTTTAGTCTCACACACATACACACTCATACATCAACAAGGAAATATTCAATGAAACTAAGCGCATACATACTCAAAAAAAACCACAATGGTAACATCAATTACTCATGAGAAAAAGAAAGTAGCCAGACGATGGTTGTAGGTGTGTACGAGAGAGAGAAAGAGAACGAAATACAGTAGGAATGTGTCTATCAAAGAAAATATGTCTTTAATATATATCGTAAAATAATTGAAAACAATTCAATCAACTGAAATAATTCAATTCAATAAACTAAGTAACAAGTTTGTTTGTTCAGCTATAAGACCCACACGCAACTATTTAGATATATGTATAATGGATCCAACACTAATTAAATCAAACAGGAAAAGATATTTAACTGTGAACCAATGTGATTAATCATAAATCTCTTTAAAGGAAAAAAAACTTTGGTTGCAGGATCATTGAAAACTGAAAGAATCATTGGGTAAGCGTGTCTTGTTCAAGAATCTTTAACAGAGTGTTTCGTATAAAAAATCGTCGGGGTTCAAACTCAGAAGGTTGAGGCCTTATGACAAGTATGTTATCTTTAGGATCACTTTTTATTAATAAATTCGAAGAAATCAATGAGAGCGAAAATGTAAGTGCTTGAAGTTTACACCCTTCAACATATATAATCATAATAATACAACAATAAGGATAACTTACTTGTACCGGAAGAAGACTCTGTTTTCACTGATGTTTGTAAAGTTTCTAAACAATCTGAAGAAGGAGGCGGTAATGATAATTGTTGTTGTATGCTTGATGCAGGTGGTGCAGATGTTGGTGTACGAGCTGAACTAGGTGTAAGTGGTGCACCAGATGTGGAACTACCGGAACTTCCAATTCCACTGATACCATGACCACCGGAAAATGCAGGTGATGCACTTTTTGGACCATTTACACTAAGATGATTCACTGCATTATGATGATGATTATTACTATTCAATGATAATTTATCATGTTCAACTAATGATTTATGATTTACACCTAGTTGACGTCGTTTCAATTCAGTTAATTCATTCAATTCTTTTGTACGTAAATAATTTGAATCCAATTCACTATTTGGTGTGTGCAATTCTAATGCATCTAAACTTTCTTTAACTAATTCAAACAAATCTTGTTTTAAAAAACAATATAAATCATATTCCTTTTCATTACGACTTAATGACATAATAAATGTTAACCATTGATCAGCTGTTGGACCAACAACAACATCCCATTGTGATGAGATACCATTTTGAGGACGTTCACGATAAAGACGTAAATCTGAAAAGTGAAGAATTAAGAGAAAGTGGAAATATGTAATTATATTATGTATGAATGTAACAAGACTACCGTCGTATATAAAGTCAACGATTGAAGAAACAAATTTATAGATCAGTGTTCTAATTAACAATATAGTAAAAAAATAAAGCTCGTTCTCATTCCAAAATCATTAGTTTAGTAGTGAACAGAACACGGGTAGGGGACAACCGAATGTATTTGACACAAAATTATAGAGCATCTCAATAAAATCTGAGAACTAGATATTAAATCGTTAATTTGCAAAATGTCCACCAATTGTCTCATTGTTCTTACATTTTCATACAAATTGCATTCTATTCCCGCTCTTGCTTTCTTGATCTTCCCTCACCTTCTGCTGCCAGACATTACATTCCTGACTCGCATAATATACTACTTATATCAATATAAGTAGCACGCACCACAGTTTATCAACAACTAACAATATACAGTTTTTGTGTGTTTATTTGTGTGAGATAGCTGGTGATGTACATCAGCTGTATACTTGTGGCCATGTGAGATCATTTCGAGAGGGAGAGCTGACTTTTCTCACTCTCGGCCGTACCAGGGCATTTAGGCGTAATGCATCTTTACAACTTTGTACAACAATCAAGCTGTGAACAAGTTTAATAACCAGTAACGCAACAGAAATCAATAGACCTATACAACTCAAATTCAATTGATTTACCCTATGGAATTCATTAAAGATAGGAAACGATTTATCGCATAAAATACGACACAAGCTCATATGTAAAGAAATTATTGTATTTTCTGATCAATAACACTTATCTCTATGTTTCTTCTAAATGGAATCAACCTTTATTCAGAGTTCAAACTTTCTTCTTATTTTCTCAACATGTTTATCTCAATCGAATTATGAATACAAATTCAGACAGTTTTAATGTGTGTCTATATACGTGGTGTTATATACAATGGGAAGAACAACAAAATGAGTCATACATTATAGGATACTGTACAATATTACTATTCATGTTAATATTGATACTTCTACAATCTCAACAACTAATTTTTTATTATTATTAACCAATCATTAATTAGGTAAACCAGACAAGTTACCACAACATTCAGTTTTTTTTTGGCCAATCATTTAGCCAATCAATCAATTTAACAAGGAATTAGTCACTAACATCTATTTGCAAATTAAAATTTTAAACCTAAGCAATACACAAATGAGTAAGAATGTTGTAGTGTTGACTGTTGTTTCTATACACATGGATACACCAATTATTAATGTATATATATACATCTCTACTTATATTGGAATTATTATAAATAAAAAGTAAACCTATCAACAACTGATAAATGAAAGGAATATAATACAATAAGCACATAGTAATAATATTAGACAAACTAGTAGTATGTAAGTAGACAGAGAGAGAGAGAGAGAAGAAAAAACCAACAATATGCATAGATAAACAAAAATCGAAAATACAGAGATTTTAAACCAACCATGATGATGATGATGATAATGAAGAGAAAACATGTTACTCTACTATATTGAAGTACTTTTTTCTTTAATTATATTACATTCTAACACATGAACACAAATACTTTCAATAAGAAGTGTAAACATTGAAGAAAAAAGAAGACTATAAGCTTATTACCATTGATATGTATTAAGAAGTTAAAAATAATCACAATAGTAATAGTAATGATAATGATAATAATGAAAAATAAAATAAAATATTAATTAATATTATTACATTGATTTCAATAGTTGGGACCATGAGTCAATTGAAGCTAGACTACCATGGAAAACATGGAAGCACTTGACAGCTGTTCCGTCCTATTGTGGGACTCCTCAGTAGTGCGCATCCATGATCCCTCCTCGCCAGATTCGAACCTAAGGATCTATCAGTCTCGCGCGCAAGCGCTTAACCACTAGACGACTGGGCCGGCTGGTATCCAATGGTGTTAACGTCTAACGTTAACTAGTTCACGAAATTGAGCGACACATCCACCATTATCTCACAACAGACCTGGTTGAACTCGTACCCGTACCATGTCACAATCCAATGTGTCCAATCACTGATTACGAGTATTAGATAGATATCAAACGAGTTCACATACATCAAGGTGACTTATTAGTTACTGGTTACAGGAAACAATAACCAAGATAATACCTAGCTCACAAATGCCATATAGTCCTCTTCGATTAGTATGTAATGCTAAAGTTAGACACAGGTTACTAGTTAAACATGGCAAGTTCCTTGATGTGATAGCAAATCCCTATGGACAGAGTTGGTCGGAAAACGTATTATGTATCTCGAACCTTCGTCTAACTTGACGCATAATATTGGCTGGTGTAAGAATACGTTGTAAGGGAACTAATGGTGGTCAAAACAAAACATAATAACAGTCCATGGAGTCATTCACTGTTGGATTGATCTGAGTAGACAGGTAAAGACTATCTGGTTAGGGTCCATCTGACTATCGTAACCAATAGTTGGAGGTGTTTGATGATGTATTTCAGAAGTGGTCTTAAAAAGACAGACCTATTCACTCTTTGTCTTTCCTCATGTTTTCAGTTTTGAAGTTATCTTATGATTTTCTATTCCGAGATTTCATGGGTTCTTCTCGAGTCACAACGTTTATGGCTACTGTTTTCAACCACCACATATACTGTTGCTTTATCCACTACCCTAAGAGTTGTCTTAATAATTTCAGCTTTTTGTGCTCGTGTGGTTTGAGAACATAACCGATGCATATATATGCCAAGTTCTACATTCCTTATCAATGAATAATTATTTCTAACAACTAGTAAGACAGATTCAGAAAAAACAGAATAGTCTTAACTCAAATAGATTATATTATCTGAAAAGACAGAGTTACTCAACGCTTTATTAAACATGGGCAATTTTAAGTCAAGCGTGTATATATCTACTAGATAAACCTTAACGCTATTTGATCTAGAACTTTGGTAAACCTATAATTCGTCACTATGATATATAAACTACATAACTGTTTTTTTCATTAGGTAGTAGTTGTGACATTAAACGTTGAGGTAATCAACCATTAGAAGTGAACAATTTAACTGGTATTCATTGAGGATGTTTGCTAATTTATTGTTTTTGAAATTCATCTCAGATGTCATTTTAAACAGCGTCAAGGATTCCGACATCAGCCTTTAAAAAACCGTAACGAAGTGATGATAGATTTTGACTTGTGATTAGTGATAGAACCGGTATTTAGTCTAACGTTGGACAATGGAATAATCAAGAATATTATTCAGTTTACCTACCCAGAAAGTCTATACATAGACGAAAGTCAAGGACTGATGCCTTCAGAAACCACAAAGACGATATGAAGGGCCAATTTCGTGTATATTTATTGAGTCGTTAGTGCATGGGATACTGTAAAACACTATGTCCTATATTTTACAACCACGATTTTTACCAAACAATTTCAACTTTCAAGGAATGATCTTGATTTAGATTAAATACTCATTTTCATAAATAGAAAAGCATATAAGTCAAAGCCATTTAACATGAAATTATAAGTATATATATGATGGATGAACAATAAGCAAATACACTTACCATCCATATAATAGTAACTACATCCTTGAGCATCCTGGCCAGCTTTAATAAGTACATTGACATCTTCTGTTTCAGCGAAAACATTACATCCATCACTCGACCCTAAATCTCCAGAACCAAATAAATCATGAGCATCGATTCGGTCAAGACCAGTTGATCCGGAACCATTAGCACCACCACGTACAGCACCACCACCACCAACACTATTTGTAGATATGGAACTATTGAAACATGTTGTAAAGTTGAAATCCGGCTGTTCGTCATAAACTGATTCAATTAAATTATCCAATAATGCAGCTCTAGCAGCCGGTCCCAACTGATGCACCAATTTCCCGTTACGATGACGTTGCATATTAATTCTATATGAAGTACGCTTATCGATTGCGAAACGATCAAGTGCTTGATCAATAGTTGCCATACAAATATCCGGATCGTCATGATTTAAAAACCGAAGTATACGAGCAGCAAGATCACAAAATGCTACAGGATCTGGATCTTTTAAAACTTTTTGATACAGGTCCTATATGTCCATACATTCAATCGAAATAAGAGGTTGATAAACAAAAGGAACAGTTAAATTTTACATAAAAATGCAGCTCATTACACAAATATAAAAAATTATATTCAGAATTAGTTAACCATGCAAAGCTACCTCATTCCGGTTCATTTTACATAGTTCAGCATATTGAAGTAGAACAATGTCTTATACTAGATAATGAATTTGACTTTCAACCACCATATATCAGATTCACTTTCGACAGATGAGTAGCAACACTAGCCTTTAAACCCACGTCATGAGGCTAGCTTAGAGACAAGCATATAAATATGCATCAGATGATTGAGTTGAACAATGAAGTTTCGTAGAGAACAGGGTTATTTTTCTGCTACTCAATTATCAACTACAAATTTATACACTTACTTTTGCATCAGACATTTTACGTGAATGCGAGTCATCGGCTAGTCAGTCATAACCAAAACAAGCCCTGGCATAAATGTACATCATTCTCATTTACCATACCATATTAACATAGAGATGAAACTGATAAGATGAGTAGTAGTAGTAGTAGTAGTATCATCGATAGTAACGAAAACGAAATATGCTCCAAATAGAAGGGATGTAATGAAAGAATGAACAGTATAAGATGATATTAAAACTTTTAATTTACGCCGGTGATTTGTGTTACACAGGTGTTCAAACAGAAGCAGATAAGCTGAGGTTCAAACTCACAACATATACGTTGAAAGCCAAATCTCCTAGTCTGTAAGCTACAGTGAAAAAAAATGCCATCATGTTTAGGCTAGTAGTAGCTGGCTTTGGATTACTTCACAGTATGTCAACCATTAAAAAAAATTTACAGTCCTTCAAAAGATATCACAGTTTATAAGGAACACTGATTGGAAATAAAAGAATTCCCACTCTCAAATCATATTCATTATCATATCACAACACTATTAATAAATACTACTATATTCTATTTAAGGATACTTTTTATAAAACTTTATCGAAATCATTCACTTTATTCTAAGATCATAGTCAATATAACAATAACATCAGTTACAACAACCAATAACACTTCTCTATTTACATAATAAAAAACAAAAAAAAACGAGTTGTATAAATTCATTTCTATGTTTGTACAGAACAAAAAAAGTACACTTCATTATGCATAACAACCACTTTTTTTTACAAATTAATACTCAATATAAGACATCTAGTTAATTCGATCCAATCAACAACAAAAAGAAAAAAATATATTGATCAGTAAGTACATTTTATTAATTGTAATTATCTATCATCATTATTTAACGAACTAACTAACTAATTAGAACTAATTATACAATCATTGATTATATTATTCATTGTTTAATGAATTTCTTCACCAATTATCTAATGTGGATAATTATCTCCATCTAACAAGGATTAAACTCCATTGGTCAGGATTTCTCCTATGAGTTACATCTTCAAGTTAATCACTAGTGAGCACATGATTGTTATCAGTATGGGGGATTTATAGAAACTGATGTATTTCCACAGGTGAAATCATGAGTTGATCTAAGCTAGACTATTATTAAAAACCTGTAAGTATTGGACATCGAGATCATCAGTGAGACATCGACAACGTAGGATCGGGTACATTTATGTATTGGCTCAGGTTGTCATACCTTATTAGCACGACAAGATGAACGTCAAATATATAGAAGCAGTTACTCCAACGATAATAATATATATGAATAAAGATTGCATATATGAGGATATGATACAGGGAGAAAGGATTGATTCGTAGAAGGAAAGGTATAAAGTAATTTGAATCCTATGGTTTAAAAGAAGACAAGGAGTGTATACACCTACACATCTATAATATGGTATTTATAATTAATTTGGTTAAGGTTTTCAGCAAAAACATTAAAAAACATTTCACCTGATGTTGATTTCCGAGATTAACTCAAACTGAGAACAGTCATTATCAGACCTATGATTTGGTATTGTTAACTTTTAACTGTTGTACAGTTACAAGACAAGTTTATTGATGATACGCGAATGTCAAAGGTTTTCTTAGTAGTAATATTTTTTGTGAGGCAGAAGCGTTTAGAAGATAAATACCAATGAGATAGTGCGACTATATGGGGGTTCACACTGTATGCACTCCATCGTCAAGTATTGCTATATCATCACCAGGAGGTCACAGAAGCCTAACTCAATGCTTTCACATGATCAGGTGTTAGAGTAATTGAGTTGGGATTTTTAATATATATATAATATATATAACTCTCAAATGATATAGGAATTGGGGATGATTGTACTACGGAAACCATCTGCTTTCATTTGGGTTACCGGATTGTAGCCTAGGTCTAACACAAACCATAAGTATTGAAACCGAGTACACAAGAATGATGCATTGTTTAACAACCTATCGTATCAAGCTTGTTTTCAGTGTTTTAATCTAAAGATTTAAAGTGTTTTGAAACAATTGTTATGAATAACTCAATTGCTACGAAACTCAAGGAGTTATGCTATCTTTAGAGTATGATAGTAGAAATTTCAAGTTAGTGAGACAGAAATAAAGTGTCAGTTTCCAGGACCTGTCTTACAATATCCCCCACAAATAAATAGTGACAAGATTAACTTCTTTGTTTATAAATAGGTATTAACTTGAACACTATGAAATTACCTTAGAATAATTATAGGAGATTAATAAACGAACTTGAAATGTAATCTATGATGTAATTGCAATAGAAAAACTAAAACAATTTCATATCATTTAATGAAAACATCTTAACATTGTAGGATAAATCACATCGAAATGTGTAAATTATTATTTGATTGGAATGAATACAAACCATATTGATCACCTATTAATTAAAGAGAATAAACAAATAAACAATACCAACCAGGTAAAGAAAAAAGGAGAGAGCGAGCAAGCGACAGAGAGAGAGAGAAAGAATCAAAATCAGACTTGTTGTTTTGTCTTTAGATCTATTGAATTGATCTTTCAATAGTATTAACAATAATAAGAAAAACAAAATGGTATGATTTATACGAATATTCATCAAGATTAGAACGAATAGTTTGACAGTAATTGAGCGCCGACTATAGAGAAGTCATTATATGTGAAAATTATATTTGAAATATTCTCAGCGATTGAAATTTAACTAATTCCAACGTTTCATCCAGCTAACTTATCTGGACTTCTTCAGGGTAATAAACAAAATCAAAATTATCAAAGAAATATATAGCTTTTTAACAATGGTATTATTTCATAACATGTAAAAAAAGAAAAGCGAGTAAGCCCGTATATAAGTCAATGAGTGAATGAATGAGAAGATCGACAGAATATTGAAATTTTTAACCGATTATTTTCACAATTGATGAATATATTATGAAATTGTAACTAATCTATTTTATATAATGTATCACTTATTATCTATTAGAAATAAATAGAAAGTATCGTCAAGTTGCATTCACATACAAATACAATAACATTTGGCCTAATTAACAATTTTTGCACACACACACACACATAGATACATACATACAGGGTATATGATGAAATCAATATTCATAATATGAATATGTCTCAGTTACCTCTATATATAATTATTTATAACCTAATCATTACAACTCACAATATCATGGCATAGTTAACTTGATAGAACTGGCTTTTGATAGTCAATGATATTAAATTGTTCTATGTGAAAATAGAGTAAACTTTCCCGTTCACTTAAAAAAAACACAACGATTATATCATGCAATCCTATATGAAATCAACCAAGTTACTAATTGGATAATTGAGAATAAAAGTTAAATGCATTAACAACTAGATCCATTTATATAGAATAAATAATAATAATAATACATAAAACATATTTCTCTCTTATTTGATAACTTTGTTGCGTTATCATTTTCAATCTTATACTGATTCAAGAATGTTATGGTTAACTAATCAGGTTTCACTGAATGTATACTATCCTTACTTATTATTAGCAATTATTCATTAGGTAATCATTTAAGTTGGGTTAATTTTTCGAAGTGTTCTTTTGCATATGGTATATATGTATTGAATAGGTTTATATAGAATAAACAGAATGTGGAATCCAAAACATGTGTTTCGTCCTATATGTGACGTCAGCTGCATTTCCGAGATAAATCAACTCTTGAACCCAGATCCATCCAGCTAACGAGTTCGAAATAAGACGAGATGGACGGGATGGATGGCCAAATTCTATCGATTCTGTATGAACGAATTCATTATTCCAAGTACATTCAAAGTATTTTGTAATTATGATTTAGAAAAATAATAGGTTACCTAAAAGAATAAAATGAATGCTTTTTATCCTACTCAATTCATTCTTTTTATTTCCTTCAACTAAATAAAGGGAAATATCTGCATCAGAAATCTGAAGCAGTTCAAGAGCAGAGTTAGGAATATTCGAGCACATTGTTGAAAGTCAAGTGTCTTAAACTACTCTAAGGCACGTTGATTAACTCATTACACCATTTACTTATAACAATTATATATATATATATATATATATATATATATATATATATATATATATATCGTAAGACTTTACATAACAGTTGTGGAGCTTAAACAGTAATTGGAGATATTGAATGTGATGTAAATAAATATCGCTCAACAGTCAATCATACGGAACGTAGAAGACGGAACATGCGCACATATGTTCAAATTACCAGAGTACATTATCACTGTGAGATGAAACGGTCAGCTCAAATATTAGCCAACAGTACGACGATTCAATTTATCTTCTTTTATGTCATGAGTTAGGTGTCATTTTTAATCTTACGATTTTATTTATTCCTTCCAAATTGTATCTCTGAAGTTTAGAATTCCATTGGAATGATAATATACACTCGCATCAGGTAATCTACGTCAATAATGACTGACTGGTGAGAAAAATAATGCTTATTTCAGCTTAATTATAAATTAATACTAATCACAAGAAAATGATCATGCGCTGGTTAAGTGATAACAAAATTCTTGTTACAGTGGATGTGTG